TCAGTCAAAGTTGTCCCAAGATTCCCAGGTCTGCATCCTGCCATTCAAAGGCAAACAGTGGCTGACTGTCTTTGTGTAACCGCAGGCAGAAGAAGGCATCCTTCAAATCCAGGACTGAGTATCAAACATAGTCAGGTGGCAGTCCACCCAGGAGGTTATAGGGATTGGGGACCATGGGGTGTATGTCCTCAACCCGCTTATTGACTTCCCGGAGGTCCTGGACCGGCCTATAGTCATTGATTCCTGGCTTCTTGACTGGCAACAGGGGAGTGTTCCAGGGGGACCGGCAGGGGGTTTGGGTCTCTGAAAGGTCCTTCTTTCTAAGTGAGGCCCCCTTCGTCCCTCTCTCTACCTATCCTGTCTCTGCGACTACTGTGGCCAACAGTTTAGTCATTTCTCTGTTACGCTTCTTGTCCCTTGCTATCCTGTCTCTGACATTCTGTTTCCATCTTTTCTCTCTCTCTCTCTGAGCTTCTTTTTTATTAAAAAAATGCGTTCTGTCTCCCTCAATACATCTGGTAGTGTATACCCCTGTCATATGGGTTATACATTCTGTAAGCTTCCTTAAGTCTTTCAAAAAAATGCGGCTGGCGATTCCTCTGCCTTCTGAACTATCTGTCTTACCTGGGCCAAATTTATAGATTGCTTATCCGTCTCTCGGAGACTCGCTACAAGCAACTGGCATTAAAGACATTAGATGGGTCCTACCTGCCTCAGTGGTGAAGTCCCAGTCTGGGCAGCATCAATTTCATTTGGAAGCTGCGTAGGTTGTCCATTTGCCCCAGGAACAAATTTTCCGGGCTTCAAGAAGGACCCGCTGTCTCTCCTCCGAAGTTAGGAGGACTTGCAAAAAGCTGTTGGGCAGTGAGAACCGATTCTAATAGATCAGTCAGTCTCACGGGGTCTGCTGAAAAGGAGGGGTTATTATTTTTCCAGTTATAAAGATCTGAGGCAGAGAACGGCCAGTACTGCAACTGGCCATCATGGCCCGTCCGGAGGCAGGGCGGTTTAATCCGGAGCGGGCTGAGGCTACGGCGCCGCCCGGAAGGGCCTGAGCGTCTGCCGGGGAGCGGGGCCGAGGGGCGTGGTGGCCGCTCTCTGACCCGGTCCATCGCGGGCCGCAGGGAGGCAGACACAGCTCCCCTCGCATTGTCGCCGGTCGCGCCGCCGTCACATTCAGGGCGCCCTTCGCGCAGCGGCCGGGACGCTGAACGCGAACCGGAAATGGGCCGCAGCCCGAGCGGTGCCGCAGCGGCGGCGGCGGGGGTTAGGGAAGAGGAGGGGGAGGGAGGGTCATAGACCGGCACTTCCCAGGTAACTATATAGGGTACTTGGTCCGGGTGGCCCTGGGGTCCAGGATCCATGACTTTCTCTTTCACCTGGAAAATAATTTGAGGGTTAAAGGTGCCATCTCGTGGCCAGCCAACATCAAAAGTTGGCCATTCAGAAGAGCAAAAGGTGATCTTTGCTTCTTGCGCACATTGACAGTCCGGTTACGAGCATCTCGAGAGCGATGACAAACGACATTCAGACGGACGAACAGATAAGAAACAAAAACAAACAGATTTTCGCTGCGCGGCTTTGACGAAAGTCAAAAGCAAATTCAGATCGGGGACGGGGGCCTTGTGCTCCCGTCCTTGTCCCCTATCAGGATGGAAACTCCCTCGGCCAGCGGGACTTCCCCAAACAGACGGGGCAGATTCCTAGGCATCTACCCCAAACAACCGAGTCCCTAAGAACTCCAGCTCCAGATACAGACCTGCCCCAAACAGACGAGTTCCCTAAGAACTCCAGACGGGGCAGATGGACATCTGCCCCAAACAGACGGGGCCCCAAACAGACGAGTTCCCTAAGAACTCCAGACGGGGCAGATGGACATCTGCCCCAAACAGACGGGGCCCCAAACAGACGAGGCAGATCGTGTCCTAGAGCTGCGGTCGGTGCCACCAGATACAGATGTATACAGCTGTATATTACAGACGCAGGCGCAATAAAACAACAGGCATAGACAGACAGACAGCAGACAACAGAAACAACAGAAATTTAGTCCGGACAATTCTTACCTCCCAGAAGTGGGTCGGTGGTCCCTGGGCGGGGTCTCAATTCCCGGCCAATGCACCAAATGAAAGACCCCAGGCGGGGGACTTTCACGGGGAGGGGGACATGAACCCAAGGAACACCGAGACCACGACCTTGGATGCAAACAGCAAGAGGCTTTATTGATAATACACGGGTACCCGGGGCATCTCAGTCTCGGGAACTGAGAGCCCCGAGCTGGGGACTCAGGGGTTCTTTTATAGCAAAAAGCGCAGTACAGAAGCGAGAAGCCTAGTTACGGGACCCTGATTGGGTAATTTAAATGAGGCTGGGGCTCAGAACGAGGGCAATTAAGGTTTCTCCCAGAACTCAATTCTCGGCCTTGGCCCTATCTGAAGAACAAAGGGTTTCTGTGCCTGCCCAATCTTTCTGGGCTGGCTATGCAGACCATAGACACCTGTGCCCCTATCTGGACAGAGATAGTAGTGACTATTCAGCTGCGAAGACCTTGAGCTGAGCTCCCTCCTGATAAAAAATGGCTGAGCTGTGGGGGAAAGGAGTTTTCCATAAGCCTCAGCTGCTTGCGCTGGGCCGGGGTCTTTCACATGCAAGCAAAAGACTCCTAGATATACGATAAAATAGCCTTTTTAAAAATTAAAAAACAACAACAAAATTACCTTTAGCTATTCTGAGTTCAGGCACTGTTGCAAACACACACACACACACACACACACACACACACACACACACACACACACACTGCAAAGGTGTATCACATTACCTCTGTAGTAGGTCAGTGTAGGCAGTGCTGGGCTCCACAGAATGGCATAGGCCCTGCCTTTGGGGGCTCCCCACACCCTCCGACTCTGAAGCAACTATTTGTGTTGAAAACTATGTATGCAAAACCACAAAACATCACTTAAAAGTCACTGGAAATTGCCCTGAGGGTGTATAGTAAATGGAAAAAAACATTTCCAAGAAAAACAGAAAGCAAAACCAACAATAATAACAACAAAACCCCCAGTGGTCTCAGTAGGGACAGGGCCAACCTGTGGCATGGGTCACTAGAGCTGTACCCTGGGCAGCTGCAACCAGGAAGACGGGATTCCCTCTCCCCCAGGCCCAGCCTAGGGCTATAGTTTCATCCTACTGGAAACCTTATAGCTCCATGTCCTAGAAATCCTACATTGGATGATTACAGCTGAGAGACCGGGACTCTCCCACCCCTCACCCCCAACCTTCCCCCAAGCTCTTCCAGGCCTTGGGCTATGCTCCTGCGGCCTTCATCGTCCTCGGGCTGGCTCCGTGGGAAGCACAGGAGTGAAAAGGCCTAGGGCGGCCTTCCCAGCCCTCCAGGACTCTCTCCCAGGACAGTGCCACTCGGGGAGAGGTGCCCGTCTCTGCTCCTGGACATGAAGAGAACTTCTGCTCTAGACAGAAGCAGCCCTGCTGGTTCTGCTGGAGAGGGGTTGATTTCATTTGGAACAGAGCCTGGCAAAATGCGTGCTTCAGGGCACCCGTGAACCATGGCGATGGAATAATGAAGGGATCCAGGGCTAGCAACTCCAAGATACTAGGAGCGACAAGTGGAACTGTGGCCCCGCCAGAACCCAGAGAATCATGGGAAGAGCCAGCTAAGAAGGGCCCCTAGGGAGTTCATCCATCCCCAGGGGGCAGAAACCTGTGCACAGGCCCTGGGCTGCACCCACTCGGGAGCTATCCCATAATGGTCGTGATCTGTGTATTATTACTTCATCCTCTACTTCTGCCTCCTATAGAAGCACAACACAGTGAACTTTGTAATTGTTTCTTCCCAATACATCTAATAAGTTACCCCAGGGCCAGTGAGATGGCTCCGTGGGTATGGACAGTTGATAATCCCCAGGCCCCACTTGACGGAAGAAGACACCTGACTCCTGCAAGTTGACCTCCGACCTCCACATGCACACACCAAATACTTGATGAATAACTTCTTAACTAAAGGGGGGGGGGGAGAGAGAGAGAGAGACACTCTGTGTACAAACTGGGTGATAGAAAGGAGATCCCAGAGGAAAATTGGTCGGCTCACGTGACTCATCCTCAGCTGACCAACACCCACCTGATTTCCCAGGGTCCCGCAGCACTGGGTCAGAGGTCAAGTTCCAAGGAAGGAAGTTGGGGAGCTCGAGTAGGGAGGCAACTCACCGGGTTTGCAAATTCTTCCTAGATTAGTGAACACATTTTCTCTCAAGTTCATTGTTAGTGCGGAGAGAGCATTTTCCTTTCAGTGAGGTAATGACATTTGTTCACACAAGCCCCTAATTGGACTCCCTCCCTCCCTCCCTTCCTATCGCAGAAGGGACACAGGTTTTTCCAGGTCAGATCCGTGCTTAGTCATCTGAACGCCGTCCCCTTTCACCTGCCTTCATCTTTCCCGGGCCGGACTGTCTTTGAGACAAAAGGAAATGACAGCCTCTATTTTCCTTTTCTTGAAAGCAGTTCGTGGAGTCAGGAGTGCGGAGGAGGGAAAGCACGGTGACTTCGTGGGTACCGTGCAATCGGAAGTGACCAGCCTTCCTGTCTTTGTTCTGCCAGGTCTAAGTCCTGATAGCACACGTGGTTCCCTTAAAAGCAGGAAGACGGCATTTCTACCTCCAGATAAATTCTCAATTGGATTTTCTGCTGAAGCAATTTGAAAGCAATGTGATTAGGCTGTGAGCAGCCTTCAAGAAAAGATTGGGCCTTTTTAAAAAAGGGGTCTCTGCTAGAAAGAGTTTGTCAGGACCTGATGGGCTTCGCACAGGTGAGAATAGAGTGTCTTAAAGCGCTGGCAAGATTCCCGAGACAGTTCTCTCTGAGAATGTCACCGTCAGTTTCCCCCCACAGAATTGAGCAGCAATTCGGCAATTTTGAGGATGTCAAGATTCAGCAAATAGTGACTGGCAATCTTTATTATTACTATTAATTATTAAATAACCCCCCAGGGCAGGTATGATGGTGCTGGCTTCTGTCAGGGGGATTACACGTTCTGGAAGCCTGGACCGCAGAAGAAATGTTTCTACCCGACAGGACAGAAGCAGCAGCTATGGTACGTATGGATGCAGTACCAAGACACTTCCTTCTCCAATACGACAGCCTCACGGTGCAAACACCGGGCAGCCTTTAGCCGTTTGAGACATAGCCTGCGGCTTGTTCTGCTCCCACTAATACCAACCTCCCCATCTCCTCTCATTCTCCCTGACCTCTCTGATAAGCCTCCCTTCTCTTCCCAGCATGTCTGAGAGCGACATTGATAGTATAATATTTGTGTACTGGTTTATTTCCTAAAACTAGCCAGGATGACTATCCCCGGAGCCACAGCCACGCAGCTGGGCCACGAAGCCCACTCACTTTCCTTGTTTATTCAGAAGAGTGTACGTTCTTCTTTCTCTTCATCCTGTCTCTTTTTCCTTCTTTCAGATACCCGCCAAAGCCTAGCCATGCTTTCTGGGACACTCTGGGCTTTCTCACTGTTTTTCTATCGAGTTACACCCCAAGCCCAGCTTCTGCCACGTGGCTGCTTACTTACTAACGGCGAGTTCTCTCTCCTCTGAATCTCTCTTCAACAGCCGAGAGAGAGAGAGAGAGAGAGAGAGAGAGAGAGAGAGAGAGAGAGAGAGAGAGAGAGAGAGAGAGAGAGAGAGTCACAGCTTGCCTTCCCTGCGGTTTTTCTTTTAAACTCCTTAAAATTGTCCGTCAAGTTTAAAATAAATTAGTAAATAGTCAGAGGCCTGTGTCTGAGGTCAAGCTCACCATCTGGCTCTGGGTATTTTAAGCTACCAGAACATTCTTTCATCCCCAGAAGATGGTGTGTCTCTATGGCCTGTCCCCAGGTTCTTGTAGGTTTTCACAGTCTTCTCAGGGGACAGAGGAAGGGAGGTGACAGCAACAGCGGTGGCCCAGAAAATGTTCATAGCAGCTGCCACAGGATAAGTCATTTAAACCGAAGCCAAGGCTGCAGAGAGTACATGGCTGGGACAGGAGAAGGGACCGAATTCCTGAGGCCATGGCTCTGCGGGGAGCAGTTTCCAGGTAGGTGAGGCTGTGGCATCACCGTGCCAGGTGCCAGGAGAGTGTGCTCCCGCGAAGGGTGCTTTTGTGGATTTTATGCCTGACCACACGCCCTCGGTTGCTGAGGCTGGAGAGCCGTCTGTGGCCCATGGGCAGGTGTCTGTGTCTAAGTTAACACAGCAGAATGGCTTTACCCAGGGGAGCTATTGGTACCCTCCGACACTGCTGTGTAGTTAGGAGCTGTGGCCTCCGTCCTGACACCTCCCTCCTGAGGGACAGGATTACACCCAGTTTATGTGGTGCTGGGAATGTGACCTTGGGCTTTGGGTGAGCAGTCTACCAACTAAGCTAGCTCTACAGCCCCAACTTTTTTTTTCTGGCACTCACTTGGGTTTAAACCCAAGTCCTCATGCATACTAGGCAAGTACCGCCACTGGATAGCCCCAGCCCTGACCAATGTTCTGTCGTCACTGTCATCAGCACCACCGCCATCATCAAAGAACTACAGAGACTGGACCTAGGGCCTTACAATGATAGACAAAGTTCTCTCCCGCTGAGCCACACCCACGTCCTACCGATGCGCTAAAGTCGGATTTAGATCACCTTGTGGCCGGGGGCCTCACAGCACGTACGTATCACAGCCCCACATGGCCGACACAGGCGCTTAGATGTGTTTCTTGTGCTTTCTCCAGGAAGCCTAGGATTGCATCCTGTTCAGAAAATGTGCCTGTTGATTTAAAAAAGGGAGACAGTGTCTCCCGGGATCCTTAGTTGACTTCCCAGCTCTCTCTTGTGTAGTTGGCTTCCCAGCATGATCTCTCTTGTGGAGTTGGCTTCCCAGCTCTCTCTCTCTTGTGGAGTTGGCTTCCCAGCTCTCTCTCTCTCTTGTGGAGTTGACTTCCCAGCTCTCTCTCTCTTGTGGAGTTGGCTTCCCAGCTCTCTCTCTCTCTTGTGGAGTTGGCTTCCCAGCTCTCTCTCTCTTGTGGAGTTGACTTCCCAGCTCTCTCTCTCTCTTGTGGAGTTGGCTTCCCAGCTCTCTCTCTCTCTTGTGGAGTTGACTTCCCAGCTCTCTCTCTCTTGTGGAGTTGGCTTCCCAGCTCTCTCTCTCTCTTGTGGAGTTGGCTTCCCAGCTCTCTCTTGTGGAGTTGACTTCCCAGCTCTCTCTCTCTCGTGGAGTTGGCTTCCCAGCTCTCTCTCTCTCTCTTGTGGAGTTGACTTCCCAGCTCTCTCTTGTGGAGTTGACTTCCCAGCTCTCTCTCTCTTGTGGAGTTGGCTTCCCAGCTCTCTCTCTCTCTTGTGGAGTTGACTTCCCAGCTCTCTCTCTCTTGTGGAGTTGGCTTCCCAGCTCTCTCTCTCTCTTGTGGAGTTGGCTTCCCAGCTCTCTCTTGTGGAGTTGACTTCCCAGCTCTCTCTCTCTCTTGTGGAGTTGGCTTCCCAGCTCTCTCTCTCTTGTGGAGTTGACTTCCCAGCTCTCTCTCTCTCTCTCGTGGAGTTGACTTCCCAGCTCTCTCTCTCTTGTGGAGTTGACTTCCCAGCTCTCTCTCTCTCTCTTGTGGAGTTGATTTCCCAGCTCTCTCTCTCTCGTGGAGTTGGCTTCCCAGCTCTCTCTCTCTCTTGTGGAGTTGGCTTCCCAGCTCTCTCTTGTGGAGTTGGCTTCCCAGCTCTCTCTCTCTTGTGGAGTTGGCTTCCCAGCTCTCTCTTGTGTACTTGGTAGGCACCGGGCTCTTTGCCTACTTTACAGCTGTGGACCTGGGTCACTCCTGGCATGTACTTGGAGTATTTGGGACTTCATCTCCATGGTTACTGGTACAGTCCTGGGGTGGACTTATGCCAACTCCAACGGTCAGGTTTACATGAGCTTCGTAAACTCAGGCAGCCATAGGCCCGGGTTATAACTACTTTGCTATCTTAGTTGGGGCTTCTGTAGCTGCAAGGAGATGCTGTTACCATGGCAACTCTTATAAAGGAAACCATTTAGTTGGAGTTGGATTACAGTTTGGGGGTTTAATGCATTATTATCGTGGCAGGAAGCATGGCAGCATGCAGGCCTGCACGGTGCTGGAGAGGGAGCTGAGAGTTCTACGTCTTGATCCGCAGGCAACAGGACGACACACTGGCCAGGCTGAAACATCTGAGAATCTCAAAGCCCAACCCCAAAGCCACACTCCCTCCATCTAGGCCACGCCTCCTAATAGTCCCCCTCCCTGTGAACCTATGGGGGCCGTTTTCATTCACACTGCCACACTTGCCAAACCTGGGATTGGCCTCCGAAGTTCATTTGTGGGGAAGTTTACAGTGGGCTCTGCCACAGGACCCGAGGCCGTTCAGCCCCTTCCCACGTGCCTCAAGTTCTGCAGACAAAGCTCTTCCTGTTCCTCAAACTCTCGATGGTATCCTTCCCCTCAGTGACTTGTGCGTGTGCTGTCTCTGTGTTCTCTAACCATCCCCCACCCCCATAGCGTAAACGGCTCATCTTGAACCTTGTCAATTGATGCTCTCTCAGGAGGAAGTGTATACCCTGTTCCTCTGCTGCGGAAAAAACAAACAAACAAACAAAAAACAACAACAAAAAAACCCTTCCTTCTCAACATCATCAGGAGGGAGACACTATTACAGAGGGGGAAACTGAGGCACAGCTGGATCACTCGACACCAACCTGCAAGCAAGTGAGAACAATAGCTGGAAGACCAGGGGTCAGAGACAGTGGTCAGGGCTGGGTTAGAATCTGGTCCGGCTGATGTCAGTTTCCGGGGATCTGGCACGAGCAGGAAGGAGTCGGGTGGCAGCTCCCAGTAGGTCATGCAGCATGCCAGGAAGCAGCATCTGAGCCGAGCCTGGGGAAAGCAGAGGAAGGCTGCTGCTGTGGTTTTAGCATGGTTGGTTCCTTGAATGGATTGATGTCCGTCAGACTTTCTTTGGACCACCAGCTTCCAAATAATGACACAGAGGCTTCTTATTGTTTATAAAAGCTTGGCCTTAGCTTAGACTTATCCCCAACCAGCTCTTATAACTTAAATCAAGCCATTTATATTCTTCTATATTCTACCACATGGCTCCTTACCTCTCTTCCATACCGTATGTCCAGCTAGCCCTGTGTCTTGTTGGTGAATTCCCTGCCTCTCCGATTCTTCCCCAGAGTTCCTCTCTCTCCCTGGAAGTCCCACCTAGCCTCTCCTGCCTAGCTATTGGCTGTTTGGTTCTTTATTAAACCAATCAGAAAGTACCTTGGCAGAGACACATTTTCACAGTGTACAAAAAGACTATCCCGTAGCAGACTGATGCAATTCCAAGCCTTGAAAACGGGTTGGTTCTCCCGAGAGCGGGCGATGGTGGAGAGAGTTTGACGTCCTCAGCTTTCCCCAGCTTTCTGCTGCCATGTGGCCTCTTCTGTCCCTAAGTACCCCTGTCCTCCCCTTCACGGGCTCCAGGCCCCTGCTCCCAGCTGGCAGTACCCAAGCTTTGCAATGATGCGAACGTTGTCCCCACTTGCTCCCTATACATGCCATAGGTGACTCAGGTCGCTGGTTTTTACCACCAGGAGCACAATGGAATTAAATTGAGACCTGGGAGTCCGCAAACTTTTACTGTATGGAACAAAACCAGGTCATGAGTTAAATCCTGCCTCTTGCATAGATTTGTGTAGCCCTTGAGCTAACGGTGGCTTTTATATTGTTAAAGTGTCAGCCTTGGGTGTCACTCTTTACTCACCCCCCCCCTTTAAATCTGGTGTCTCTCATTAGCCTAGAACTTGCCACCACATTAGGCTGGCGGTGGGAAGGGAGGAGCACTCTGATTTTCTTACATTTTTGGTTGTGAGCCTAACTTTTAATGGCTGAGCCATCTCTCCAGCCCCATGATTTTCTTATGTGTGTTCTGGACATCAAATTCAAATCAAAGCTTGCAGGGTAAGCTCCCTACGGACTGTGGTATCTCCCAAGTTCTCAAGATGGTTGTTTTTTGTTTTGTTTTGTTTTAAATCAGGTGAATGCGTTGTCCTGACTCACACCTGTACCCCTAGCAATCATTAGACAGGAAGACTGCCATGAGTTTGAAACCAGCCTGAGCTACCTGTGGGACCCTGTCTCAAAAAAAAAAGTGAGCTGTGAGAGACTATTCAGTACAAAAGTAAGCAACACAAGCCTCAGTGTCCACCAGGACATGTGATCTGAACGAAGCCATCACACATGGCCTCTTTCAGGCACAGAGGGGGCAAAGATAATCATGGCCCCCAGTGCCTGAGCAGGTTCTTGTCTTTCCTTTAAGAAAACCCTGAGTCTCCGCTCTAAACAAATAGCGTTGAGATTTAAAGTCATTTGTGGGCCAGGCATGGAAGCACATGACTGTAACTTCACTGTCCTCAAAGAACTCCAGAGGCTGAGGCAGTCAGATCTTGGATCACAAAGTCAAAGCCAACCTGGGATACACAGAGTGATTCTGCCTCAAAGGTAAATTAATTAGTTAATGTATCAGTTATAAAATACCTGGTTGGCTCCTGTTTTCCTCCCTATCAGTATAATTAAAGTTTTGTTATGTTTTTATTTACTGTGTGTGTGTGTGTGTGCATGTAGGGTGTGTGAGTGTGTGTGGGGTGTGTGTGTGTGTGTGTGAGTGTGTGTGTGTGTGTGTGTGTATGCCTGTAGTATACATGCCTATCATGGCACATGTAAGGAGATCAGAGAACAACTTGCAGGAGTTGGTTTTCTCCTTCCTGACTGTAGGTTCTGGGGATTGAACTCAGGTCGTCAGCCTTGGCCTCAGTCACCTTTTACCCACAGCCATTCCGCCACTCCCATCATCCTATATTTTAGTGAATACCTGTGGGTCCCTGGTTAACTCATCCTCATACTGTCTCTCGAACATGTATGAACCAGCACCTGGTGTTGTGAGTGCTGGGTGGATGTGAATCTCAATTACGTGTAGAATTATGAACACAGAGACACAAATTCAAGCAAGTGCAAGACACCAAGTCTCCTTCCTCCTAATTTATTCTAGGGTGTGCTGTAAACAGTGCGCGGCGTCCCTTTGACCCGGCTTCACCCGTCTCGGAGGACACAACAGACTCTCCTTCACAGAAGGTACAAGTGAACCAGAACCCGAGGGGTAGGGAGGCGGGGCACCCTGGGTCCTTCCCTCTTCACAAAGTGTGGTCTCCCCCAGATGCGTCTGGTCGTCAGTAGAAATGGCCCATGCTCCTCGGAATCGAGGGGTCCAGGCCACTGTTCATCCATATCTCTTGAATGATTTGCTCCCTGCGCTCAATTCTTTCTGCCAACTCAGCGGCCTCTATGGAGCTGTAGGCTGGATACGAAGTCCTGCAAAGCCTGGACAGTTCCACGGGGAACTCGGAGTCTGAGGACTCCTCTTCCACGTCCTCCTCGCTGTCCTCCTCAGCCTTGTCGCTTCCTAGCACCAGATGCTCCCTGCCCTGCCTCAGCTCCTGGAGGTCCTTGGTACAGGACACTCTGATGACCAGGGTACACAGTGTGAGGACCAGGCCAATGCAGACACTAGACACGAACAGCAGGGCGGCTCTCTCCGGGTGGGCTGTGAGAAGAAGGGACATGTGAGAATCCGAAAGGGTTCATTTTGAAGACTCGCCACCCATCGTGTCAGAAAAGGCAACGGGCTCATGCGGTAACGTGGGGCAGGGCCCAGGGCTCGTCCCAAAACGGCACTTCTGCGGGGGAGCAAACATCCAAAATACGGCCTTGTGGGGAACATTTCAGATTCAAGCAGCCACCGACAATATGTAAAGCACTGGCCCCGAACGTGACCCAGTAAAACTTTATTTATAGACCTGAGCTGGGGCCATGGGCTGAACACTTTTATGACTGTTCAAGCTGCGGCCCAGAGGGAAGGCTACAGAGGCCGCAGCCTCTTCAGGAAAGACTGGACCCCGCACTCCTTCTGGGATGGGCTTTGGTGTCCCCAGAATTTCTCAGTACATCGAAACTGCTCAGAGTCCCCCCCCCCTTTTATTTCAGGAAAACAATGAAGACAGCTGTCTTCACAGGTGCCATCCTTCCCCAGACTGGAGTGTCAAAACTCCAGGGCTGCTAAGACTCCCTGGCAGCGAGGGATCTCACAGCTGAGATCTAACGGAGAGGGGAACTGGGACACTTTATCTCCCTGGAAGCCACGCCTCCCCAGCCAGTCAGCCAGCTTCCTTCCCACAGCCCAAGCTGTCCCCAGAGTGGCTCCACCCATGTGTGCCACACTTTGTGACCCTACCCGTGCCTCACACTCACTCTCCACTCCCTTTAAGACCCAGATGTCGGAAACAGCATCTATTTTGGCTGGGGAAGGGACAACAGACCGTGTCTGTCATGCTATCAGTTCAGTGTTGAAGAGTCGAAGCATATAAAGGGTTTGGTCTCATAGAGACATGTGTCCTTTGTGGCAGGGAGAAGGGCTGCTTTCGCTTCTGGGAGTGGCGGTGGCAGATGGCCTCCCTGGAGACACTGACACTCGTAGCTAAGTCACTGAATTGGAAAGATGCCGAAACCAGGGAGGGCATCAGGTTCAGGTCAGACCTTCCCTCCTGCCCCCTGCAGAGACCAGGGAGGGCATCAGGTCAGACCTTCCCTCCTGCCCCCTGCAGATCAGAGCCTGCCCCACCTCTCCCAAAGCCACCTTTGCCTCCTGACATGGCTTAGATGCAGCTTGAGTGTCCCTCATGATTTTATGTGTTGGAGTTGATGCCTGACGCGAGGTTTGAGAGGGGGAGAGCCTTAATCCCTTTTCTAGCCACTTGTGGGTCGGACAGAGCCAGCTCCAGGCAGAAACGTACTCCTATGAAAGTTTCTGAGGAGCCAAGGTCACTCACAGACCCCCTGCCCTCCTGTCCAAGCAAAGATGTAGTGGTGACCAGGTCTCAGGCTCCATGGACGCAGGTCAAGGTCTTGCTCCGCCACAAAGTTGACCTGTTACTCTACTTATTTATTCTTTTCTTAAAATTATAATTGTTTGGCTAATGGTTCAGGCTTATTACAGCCAGCTCTGCATTTAAATTATCCCATTTCTATTCATGTATGTATTACTACGTGGCCTGGCTCCGGCATCTTTCTCCTCCAGTGGCCCCATGGTGTCTCCCTAACTCCGCCTTCTTTCTCCCTGTATCTCTGTTTGGATTTCTTGCCTACCTATATTCTGCCTGCCAGAGGCCAAAACAGCTTTATTCACCGACCAATAAAAGCAACACATCATTTCCCCTTTTCTGTCTAATTAAAAAGGAAGTTTTAACTTTAACACTGTAAAGTTGCATATGACAAAACAGTTATCTCTGTCACTTCTAGAGTTTGGAAGTCACTTACGATGCACTTCCTGTTTACTTAGGTAACATTAATATCCTTTTGTGGATATAATCCTTTATTTCTTCTTCTTTTTTCTTTTTTTTATTTTTTGTTTTTGTTGTTGTTGCTGTTTTTTCGAGACAGGGTTTCTCTGTATTGCTTTGGAGGCTGTCCTGGAACTTGCTCTGTAGACCAGGCTGGCCTTGAACTCACAGAGATCCTCCTGCCTCTGCCTCCCGAGTGCTTGGTTTAAAGGCCCGGCTAATCCTTTATTTATTCTTAAGGCCTTTTTTTTCCACAATGAAGTCTGAACTTTAGGACACCACGCATGTGGGCTGGTACTCTACCACTGAGCCACACCCCAGCCCCATTTCAAGAGAATTTCATCGAATTGAGCGAGTCAGTCCTTAGGGCACATCACACGCTACCACGAAGTCACCATCTCCAGCCTCCTTCCTTTCCAGGTGGCAGGGTCTGGGTTCTACTCCTGGGATTCAGGGGTTCCTCTCACCACAGCATCCCAAGTTCACATCGGCGTCACTGAGATCCAGTGGCCAAGGATGGGGCCGATGAAGATGTGCGCCTCTCGGCAGTCCCGTGGGAATGGAACTTCCTGCGATGTGACTGTCACCACTGTCAGCAGACTGAAGGCAGATGGCACAGCAGAGATGAGCTGGCCTGACTCCCGATGCTGTAGCCTAGTCACTTGCCAAAGCCGCCATTGGCTGGGACCTGGCATGGACCAGAGCTCTGCCTACTGCCCCAGGTGTTGCAGAGAGGGCGTTTCCTCCATTTTCCAGAACCAGCTGGACCGCTTCAGCGATGAGACCCCCTCTTCTGGCATCTCTTTTTTGTTGTGGTCAAATAGAATCTTCACAGTGCTTTTGTTGGTGTTCTATATTTAGTCCCAGTTCATCACAGGCTACAGGGGATGATCCCGGGAGCCTCGGAATCTTTAGGCCCCCTTTGCTCGTTAGATACTGGTCTGGGGCCAACACAAGTTCCAGTTCAAATTTAGTCACACCCAGATAAGCCACCGCAGGCCTCCAGCCAGGGTCCATCTCTTGCGGGACTGTGGCCAGAGTCCTGCAGGAGGAAGAAGCTTGAGGCGTTTGCAGACTGGACTGACAGCACTCAGGGATGGCATGGGACTTTGTGTCAGAGTTGGAGACCCAGGGAGCACTTCAGAGCCCACACCGTGTGACAGCGCGCTCTCTCTGATCGTCCTCCCTGAGGGGTCATGTAACCGACCTTGGGATATGTGATGAAATCACTTCTTCACAAAGCTCTTCTGATGCCCTAGAATTCCTTTCTTACAACCAATGAGGTTGCCCTGGCCCTGCTCCTAGATCCCAAAGACACCCCCAAAGTTCTCGGCAGGTTTGCCTGAAGCTGAACACGAATATCCACACCACAATCCCAAACAGCAAGGACAGTGACTGAATACTGAGTCACAAAAGGCCCAGATGAGGTAAACACACAAAGCCAGACGCCAATAAGACGCTAATGTGGCTGTGGTTGCCTGTCTGCTTGTCCCCATCTATAGGACTACATTCATATGTCAAAGCTACCTGGCGGCCTGATTAGGAAACACCCTCGTGTTTCCTCTCAGTTTGTGGGGATCTTCCCTGATCAAGCTCTTGGTTCCCCAGCTGTTCTAGCTAGTGGCCTCAACCTCACTATCAAACAATTCCAGGAGCCTGTGTGCAGCCTCTGGTTCCTAGCCCTGATGCAAGGCTTTTTTGGATCCACACCTAGCCTTGGCTGTGACTTGCTAAGATGAGCATATTAAAACATCTCTCAATAAAATCAAACAACGTCCCATCCAGTCCTCCTGTTAAAAGGCTGGAGCATCATTCTGGGTTGTAGGACTGTCAGCAGGATGGCTCAGTGGATACAGGCTTTCGCCACATAAACCTGACAGTCTGGATTGGATCCCCAAACCTACGTAAACAGTAGGAGAGAACCAAGTGCACAAAGCTGTCCTCTGACATTCACATGCATGCCGTGGCATGCATGCACCCCCAGACACATTTTACATCTGTGTGAATGTACACCAAGTGTGTGTAGAACCCACAGAAGGTGTCAGGTCCCCTGAACTAGAATTGCAGGCAATAGTATGTATACCTCTGGACATGAGCTTGCAAGAGCAGCAAATAGTCTTAATCACTGAGCCATCTTTCCAGATCCATAGGTAAACCCTGTAAGTTATAGATGATCAAAGAGTATAAGGTGGCCATAGCATTGGAATAGTCTTAATCACTGAGCCATCTTTCCAGATCCATAGGTAAACCCTGTAGATGATCAAAGAGTATAAGGTGGCCATAGCATTGGAATAGTCTTAATCACTGAGCCATCTTTCCAGATCCATAGGTAAACCCTGTAGATGATCAAAGAGTATAAGGTGGCCATAGCATTGGAATAGTCTTAATCACTGAGCCATCTTTCCAGATCCATAGGTAAACCCTGTAGATGATCAAAGAGTATAAGGTGGCCATAGCATTGGAATAGTCTTAATCACTGAGCCATCTTTCCAGATCCATAGGTAAACCCTGTAAGTTATAGATGATCAAAGAGTATAAGGTGGCCATAGCATTGGAATAGTCTTAATCACTGAGCCATCTTTCCAGATCCATAGGTAAACCCTGTAAGTTATAGATGATCAAAGAGTATAAGGTGGCCATAGCATTGGCTCAGGGTTTTTTATTTAGCCATTTGTTGACTACTCAGTGTGTCCTGGTCTGCCCCAGAGCTGTCCTAGACACGGAGATATGACAGATGTCAGTCGTTGCTCTTTAAGGAGCTTAGACAGGCAAACACGTCATCCAAGATGTAGCAGGACGAGCACATGAAAGGATGGCGGGAATGATATTTGCATAGCACTGGGTAAGAGATCCCAGCCCTCCAAAGCCCGACAACAAAGCTCTTCTGATTGACAGCCTTGCCCGCCCCCAGCGTGAAGCTGGACCCAGCCGCTGTCCATGGTCCCCTTGGCAAATGGCCCAACTCCTTTGACCCTTGGCTCCTTTAAGTGTAGAATTCAGGATCAGAACCGTATCCCTCAGAGCTGTTGCTCTGGGCTGATCACGTTCCCCAAATGCATACTGATTGCCCAAGGCCCTAATAGGACTGTGTAGACCGAACTATCTTGAGCTAGTTAAGGTTAATCGAGTTCCCCAGCGGGTCCTCATCTGATAGGACTGGCAGTTTTAGGAAAGTGAACTCTCCTTTTTCCTTGTCTCCTTTGTCTCTTCCAGTCACCGCCACCAGCCCCCAGCACATGCATGCTGACGGAAGTCGTAAGAAAAGACAGAGGTGAATAAACCACGCTGCGTGTGTGGCAAGCCCACGGGGGCAGTCCTGGGAGGAGAAACAGGGCACTGATGGGGGGGCTGGGGCCAGGCTCACTAGCTCCTGTGCCGAGGCATTTCTCTAAGCCTTGATTTCCCTGTGAGGAAGCTCTACCCCGCAGAACCCCAGCCCCAGCAGGCCTGAGTAGACACTCACTCATTCGGTTACTGGGCCTTTTACAGAAGGCCTCAGAGTTTCTGACCTCTATACAGTTTTGATGAATGTTCCCCTAGGGCCTATTTGTAAACGTTTGGTTCCCATGGTGGCCTTGGAACCTCTAGGAGGTGGGGTCTACAGGAAGCCTTCAGGTCACTAGGTCTGTCCACCAAAGGGGATTGCTCTCCTCGAGGGCAAAATGTGATCACTCATGACGCCCCACCCTTACCACAGCCCAAACCAAGGGAGCCACCTGGCCTTGAACTTGACCTCCAGAACCATAAGCCAAAATATACCTGCTTCTACTTAGGGAGTCCTGGGTCTTGCATTGCAAAATGTGGTGTAAGTGGATCGCCAGAGCCTTCCTTGAGCAGGGAGCCAGTGTCTGTCCCAGGACATGCAGGGAGGTAGCAAGGAGTGTGCATTCCTCCTCATACAGGGCTGCACATGGCCAGGCCTGCTGCGAGCCTTCAGCCCAGAGGGTGTTAACAAGGAAGCCCTGGCAACCATAGTGATTCTCAGGCCTCCTGAGATGGCCGTGTCATCCCATGGCAGGACCTGCTCTGCTTCTTAACGTGATCTGCTTTGTTTTTCTTCCAGTTGCGCGTAGAATTCAATGACCCTAATCCTCAAATCTGGGGGATGCATTTCTACTCTTCACGGGGGAAATTCCTTTGGAACCAAGCCCTCAGCAACTCAACCGCATGCTTTCGGGTCCCTTGGTTTTGTGGCTGCAGCTGTTATTTGAAGCCCAGCCCTGTGCTTCTGGATGTCACCACACCGCAGGTACAACGGAAAGCCACTGTCCCTTCGTCATCAGAGTATCTGCCAGGGAGAAGGCGGCGAGCAAACCCTTCCACACCCCCAAAAAGCTCCCATTCATTCACCCACCTCGAATGTAAGCAAACGCAGCCAGAGAGTTGCTGACGATAACGCCATCTTTCCTTACAACCCTTGATCCACTCGGGTCGAATTTTAAACCTGCAAAATGCAAAGGCCATCGGTCAGAGCAATACAGGGTGTGCCTGTCCTATAAGCCCTGTTGACCTGCATCCAGGGCTGCCAGAAGAGTTAAAAGTCACAGACATCAAACCACTGGGCTTCTGGCTGAACTGTGGGAGACTGGGGACACTTAGCGTGGAGGCCTCTGTGTGACATGTCCCATGAGTGTGGGAAGACGTGGTCCCGGCTGGCATTGCAGTTTGGGAGGCTGCAGAACCTTTAGAGAGGTTATGTATCCTCACGGGAGGAAGCGGGTCACAGGGGCAGGCCTTGAGGTCTGTAACCTGGCCCCGCTCCCGAGTGTCCTCTGGTTCTGGACTGTCTCACTGTCCTGAAGCCATGACGGACTTCATCCTTTCCTAAAGCCAACATAAAGCCTTCCTTTCTTATGTTACTTTCTTTTGGGTGTTTTGTTTGAGTGACAAGCAGCTCATGCAGAAGCCGTCTTTGAAAATGTCAAGTGGTTAAAGGGCTCCAAAACATTTCTGAGTGTCAATTACCCCCTCCAGAACAGAACACACTATCCCAGGCCAAAGGTAATGGCATCCATCGTGCCTTTAGAAGGCCGAGTGAATGATGCCTCATGTCATCCTGGAACGGCTGTCTGTTCTGTGGGCCAGAGATATGACAAGCCTTGGGAGGAAGCGCGCGCGCGTGCGTGTGTGTGTGTGTGTGTGTGTGTGTGTGTGTGTGTCTGTCTGTCTGTCTGTCTGCCTGTCTGTCTGACCTGCTTTTGGACACGAGGGAACCGCCTGCATGGGCCAGTGCTGATGGGCCAGTATTGGAGCTCAGGGAGTCCTGGGACTATCACACGGGGCAGATGCACTACAGAGGGATGGTGGCCCCGCAGGATCAGGCGGGAGCCGCGGGAGACAGAGAAGGGAAGGGCGCTGAGATCCAGAGCCTGGTAGACGGGTGGCAGGGAGCCACAATGCAGAGATGTTCCCAGCCGTCACCTCTAGCTTTGGGCTAAGGGTGGGTTCTGTGTCTTGGCGTTGTGTTTTCTTTAGCAGGAAGCAAACCACAGGGCCAGTCCTCTGTGGCAGAGAGGACCACGTCCACGAATTCAGCCACAGACGAGAAAAAGGATACTTAGAAGAAATGTGAACGTGTACAGATTTCTTTTTGTCATTATTTCTTAAACAATGCAGCACAACATGGCATTGACATTGTGATAAGGATCATAGGCAATCAAGGGATTAAAGCCCACAGGAGGGTTGTGTGGGCTCTGTGCAAACACCGGGCTGTTATATTTAAGGAACTTGAACACCTGCTGATTTGTGCATGTATGGAAAGTTCTAGAATCAATCCCTAAGATACAGATAGACCCCTATACTTTACTTTCATAACGGGGAGCAGGCATAATAAGTAAAATAGAATAACACAAGGCAAAACCCTTGCTACCCAAAGATAGCATCATAATGTATTCTATGGGACTGCCAGGAACTCAACGGGTTAAATTTGTTCTATATGTCATTAAAAAATTCAGATGAGTTCAAGACCAGCCTGGTTTACAGAGTGGGTTCCAGGACAACCAAGGCTACACAGAGAAACCCTCTCTCAAAAAACCAAAACCAAACAAACAAACATCCAGGCTGGCAGGGATGGTTCGTTGGGTATTTGCTGTTAAGCCTGATGGCGTGACTTCACTCCCCGGGACTCACAGAGTGGAGGGAGAGAGATGACCCCTGAAAGTTGTCCTCTGACCTCCATACTCACATGCGTCCATACGCACTTACATACACACTCATAAGTAAACAAATGTTAAAAAACAAAATCAAATAGCTCTGTCCCGATCTGTGTAAGTTCGGTGGGAAGCAAAGACCTTTGGGGGCTGGCATGGTCAGCTGGCTCCGGCCCCAGCTTTGCAGCAAGCTCCTGGTATCACCAAGAACCTGAGCTGTTTCTAAGATGATCTGCTGTTCAAGGTGATTTTATTTTCATTTTATTTCAGAAAGAAAAAGAGGAGTGGGAGAGAGTAGGGGTAAACTTATTCTACTTGTGATTTTAATTCTTTGTTGAAGCCTAACACTGGCTGCTGTGTGTGAGCGCCGGCCACGCCCCATTGGTATCAGCAGAGCAGCCGATACCTCTGGTCTTTCACTCCAGCTCTGTGCCTGGCTGTCCTCACCGGCTGCTTAACTTCACTTATAAGGAAACGCTGGGAAAAGCCATAAAGATTACCGTATTCATCGTCTTTCGTCAGGGAAGGGTTTAAATTAGCAATGGCTGGGTCGATCGCTGTGAGTATGTTCTTGGGAACTAAAAACCAAAAGGAAGCATTTTAAATACCTGGTACATTAAAACACATTTGCATTTAATATATGTTCAAGGTACAATGTAGATAAAGACTTGCAAAATACTTTTCAGATCACTTTCTCTCTCTCTCTCTCTCACATACACACACTGACACACTGACACAAATAGCACATATGAGACCACCAAATGCCCAAGACATAATATGAAATCTTAGGCATGTATTTGCAGTATTTTTTCCTGAGGAGCTGGCATTATAGTGATGACCCAGAGGTTAACAGTGCATCTACTGTTGCAGGGGACCCAAGTTTGTCCTCAGCACCACAGGGGGTGGTTTTACCACTGCCTGTAAGTGCAGCCAGGGACCCACCTCCCTTTTCTGGTCTCTGCAGGCACCTACACGCACACACCCTCTGCACAAACATATGCACATATATTTAACGAAAACAAATACTCTCTTTAACGGATCCTAGAGACAGGAAAGCTGAGGGAGCAGGGCTTCAAGTTTGAAGCTAGCTTGGGCTACACAGCAAGACCCCCATCTCAAGCAAAACAAACGCAGAAAATAAATAAACTACAGTGTGCTCGTCTAACGGAAAATGTTAGTAATAAAAAGAACACAAGGGTGAATCTGAAAACAGCTTACTCCGTGCGAGAAGCCAGTCACCAGAACCCATCCATTGCGTAACTCTGCTCCTATGAACTGCCTAGAAAAGATAAATCTGGGGCAGAAGTTGACTGGTGGTTGCTTAAGGTGGACAGGGTGTAGAGTGTGGGAAACTTCAGGAGGGGGTCACGGAAATGTGGGGACAGCTGCGCAGCCTGCAGTGTGCTGGAGTCCACCCAGGTGTCTCTCTCTCAGTAGGTGGAAGAATGCCTCAGGTAGGTGCTGAGGGGAACCCAAACCTATCCGAGATACCCGAAAGCAAAGTGACCAGTAAGGACCCCATCAAACCCCTCCTGCTCCTCTGCCTTCGCTCTGAACTTTCTCCTCACTTCGTCAGAAACCTGGAGGAGCCTAGCAACCCGGGTCACATGGTAGACGAGATATAAGAAAGGACGGTTCTGGGAGAAGGATCAGAAGTTCAAGGTCATCCTCGGCTATGTAGGGGGTTCAGGACTATCTTGAGATTCAGGGAGAGAGGCAGAGGGACAGAAGAGGGAGGGAGGGAGGGAGGGAGGGAGGGAGGGAGGGAGACAGAGACAGAGAGAGACAGACAGAGAGAGACAGAGAGACACAGAGACACAGAGAGAGAGACAGAGAGACAGACAGACAGACAGAGAGTGGAGTTATAAAGGCAAAACACACTGCTGCCAACTGGGAGAAGGGAGAGGATGCCAAGTTTTCTAGCTGCAGAAAATTGCTTATTTTCATTTTTCCCTCCGGCCAGATGATATCCGGGAGAAGTGGCAACAGGAAGTAGAGGTGAAGCCAACAGAAACCAGGCAAGATCCGCAGCACTGCTTTCACAGAGACCCTGTAGTCATCTCCAGCTATGAGAAACCCCATTTCCTTCTCTGGGTGCTTAACTCAATCCTTCTGGAGACACCTCAGGACCAACAAGCAGACAACAGCCCCAAGCCGTGAACCACTCGATCCAGGAGACCCTGGCGCCTCTGTGTCCGTTTCTGGAGAGGCACAGGGAGATGCTGGGGGAGACAATCTCGGCCAGCTGCAGAGCGCAGCACTGACCCCAGGAACACAGCAGCAGCACCACAAGTGTGGTCGAATCCACTAGCCTCTTGCTTGTCTCTGGGTCCCAAGAACACTCTCCCCGATCCCCTGGCAGCAGTAAAACCCTGGGTGTGCTGACTTTCCCTACCAGAAGGGTCATTTCTTTCTCAGTCTGTCTCTGGGCTCCTGGCTCTCTGTGAATGCCAGAAGCATTGAGACAAGGCTTCTGCGTGAATGGCAGAGGCTGTGGAGATTCGGAACTGCAGAGAGAAGCTCAGAGAGGATGGACAAATGGCTGCTGGGGTAGGGTCAGTTAGGGTCTCCAGACGGTACTGGAAGCCTGAAGAGGAGCCAAAAGATACTTGTGTGGACTCGCACAACACCAGGACATTTAAGGGCTCCCTGAGAACCAAGATAGAAATCGCTGCTGGCTTCGTTCATCCTCAGTGGCCTCAAAGTTGTCCCCACTTACTTGCTCGTCCTCTGCCAACCTGATGACCTGACGTGCTCCCCAGACAGTTTTCAACCGAAGAAAACCCCATTGCTTATCTGACGTGAATGCCATGAACCAGGATAACCGAGAGGAAAGGTGTGTGAGGCGACTCAGCAGTAACCAGCTGAGCTGTGGGGATCTTCCAACGGCAGGCAAGCAGGACGGCACCCTTAGCGCCTATGTTAAGGACCCTAAAGGTGTGTTCCTTTGACTTCAGCTAAAACAGTTCCGGGACAGAGATGTTGGGTACCACCAAAAGTATTCCTGTCCGTCATCATCATTATTGTTGTTTTGAGACAGGGATTTCTATGTAGCCCAGACCAGCCCTTGAATCCCCAGCCTCCCCAAAGCTGGCGTTGCTGCTGTCCACCATTTTCACCCTTCAAATGTCTACCCCATGATTGAACTAAACCTAGGAATGTTTCAACCGTCTTTCCGGAACTGAGCATGCTCAGTTCCGTAGACCGCCCCCACGGCGCTTTCCAAGGCTGGAGTGACTCCAGAGTACTCCTTACATGCTTCAGGCAATACACCTCTCCCCACTCTTCCATCCTTTCGGTCGTGCTTATAGGCCACGTACCGCCTACTATGTGCCAGGCCACGCGCCACCTACTGTGCGCGATTCAAGGGTCACACACTCCTGCGGGACGCGGCTACCACTTCCCTAACAGGCATGTGTTCATGGAGCTGGTTGAGGGTTTATTCTTACCACAGGCGTAGGCAACAGTGAGGTATTTTTTCACTCCTGGAAGACAGGGGCTCCCGAAGTGGTAATTATCCACGAGGACCTTACATCTCTGCTTCCCGTAGCACCGCCTGGACAGGACTTGCAAAGCCGTGTAAGACAGGCAGTCTGGAAGGGAAGGGGCAGGGGGAGCGTCAGGCTGGTCTGCACCTGTCACCATGCAGCTTATAGCACTTGCTACACACACACACACACACACACACACACACACACACACACACACACACACGCGCGCGCGCACACGCACATGTGCTGAGATGAACTTCCGGTCACACAAAGGCCGTTTCTCTGTTCTCTGCTGATCACCCAAGATGCTTTGCACCAGCTTGGCCATCAGCCCTCGGGAAGCCCTGAGCTTGGCCTAAGGACTTGTCATCACGACCTTGAAATTGTGATGTCCTCTTTGTCAAAGCCTGGATGTTTGCCTTGCCCTGGTCTCCGCAGCCTGTAGTGAGGCTCCTATTTACCTCATGGCCCCTAGGCTTTGAAATATTTGCCTAGCTTAAGGCTTTCTTCTAAATGCACAGGGTCCATGTGCAAATACGTCTCTTTTTTTAATTATTTATTATACATACAGTGCATGTGCCCCAGGAGAGGGCACCAGACCTCATTACAGATGGTTGTGAGCCCCCATGTGGTTGCTGGGAATTGAACTCAGGACCTCTGGGAGAGCAGGCAGTGCTCTTAACCACTGAGCCATCTCTCCAGCCCCACATACATCTGTCTTGTTCATCGTCTTACTCCCACTCCCCAGCTCACTGCAGGACCCGGCCGAGCAACTGAGAAACGGACGGAAGACTGAGCGGGCAGGCAGGCACAGTGCTGTTATCCCCTCCATCGGTAGCATGGGCGCATTAGCTAGGCTCCGTTTCGGTGTCCCCCACACAAGCTCGTGTGTTGGGGCTGAGGCGGCTCAGCTGCTGAAAGCACTGGCTGCTCCTCCAGGGCGTCTGAACTGTCCCCAGCACCCACACGGAACGGCTCACAGCTGCCTGTAAACCCGGGGGAATCTGCTGCCCCCTTCTGGCCTCCAAGGGTAAAGCATGCAAGCCCTGGGGGGAGGAGGCAGGGGAGTCCCTCTCTGCTCACCCAGCCTTGCCCAACACTTAGTGAGCTCCAGGCCAGGGAGAGACCCCGCCTCAAGAAACAAGCTAGCCGGCTTTCGAGGAACAACACCCGAGGCTGACCTCTGACCCACGGGACCCTTAGATGCTCCCCGCGCCATTTTCTAACACAATAAGCAATGCCATGCTTAGAGCTAGAATATTCCTATGCAAATAGGGGACTTTCCATGGGAATTCTTGTCATGGATTTCTCCATCAAAGAGTGCCAGGACACGACCTCGGTGACACACCGTGACAAGCGATTACTTAGGGAAATGGTACCACTGTGTGCTGCTGATGGAAAGGAATGTTCTAGAAAGCTTATGCTGTCTTAGAGCTACGGAGAAATAAATGCCTGACCATCCCCCTCCACCCCCCCCAAGGACCTGCGCTGTAGACATGCATCGCCATGCCCAGTTCCTGCAATGCTGGTGCATGCCTGGCCGCTCTCCCGACCGGGCTGCATCCTCAGTCCAGCCTGGGCAGTCTTAAAGACCGATAGAGGAAAGCACCTAAGATGTGGGGGCGCCTCTGACACACTCTGAGAGCACACCATACGCTAGTGAGAGAACTTACCTTGCCTCAAAGATTTTGGTCTTACCGCCAGAAAGTTTATCTTAGCCGTGACTTCAGGAAGCTGACCCAGGCAATTCAGGGCTGACTCGGGGCTGGCTGTGCCCTTATTGAGGCTGAGCCCTGAACCATCCCCAGGATTGTGTTGTTTCTTTAAAGGTGGCGATTTCCTGCCCACACAGGTTTTGCTTGCCAAGCTCCCTCTCCCCCGATACATGTGATAACAAGATATTCGACCATTTCAATTCTTACTTTTTGGCAATTGTTGAGCACCGTGACTGAAGTTAATCACTCTTGCAAGCCAGTGTTTATTCAGATAATTGGGCTGGCTGCTCTTAAGTGGCCCTGTCTTGGCAGTGGAGAGTTCCTGGCACCTTGATCTTGGCTGAAAAGCCCAGGCCTGCCCACACTTGGCCTTGGGACAGCCTCAGCCCAGCCTTTGAGGCCCATTGTGTGGTTTCTCATTCTCTTATTGAGGAAATAGCAGAATCCCTGGAGCCCACCCAGAAAATGTGACCATAGCAGGAAATGACACACCGCCGTGGTGGAGGCACGCCCTGGTGCCCGGTTCTCTGGGAAGGCTCCCTCCTGGCCCCAGGGAAGGGCCGCTCTGACTGGTGCGCACAGGACCAGCCACGGCCTCTTGAACTCATGCCTTTCATTTCCCCTCTCCCAGATGAACTTTCGCAGTAACAGCCCTGGCTCGCCGCGAGACCTTTCAGAAATGCCTCTGGCTGGGCCACCCTCAGTGCAAAGAACGCAGGCCTTACTTGCTGGGCCCATAGGGTTGTGAGACGTCCACCTTTTGTTGTCACTTTATTAATTGTAATCATCTTCTTTGATACTCGCTTGCTAGGGCAGCAGCCGTGCCTCTCAGACTCAACCCTGGAAGCTGTTTCTGGACAGTTCTGCAAGTTCGACTGAGGTGTCAGCAAGGCTGGCTCCCTGGGGCCTCTGGCTGGCTTGTCTGTCTTACACTGCACATGCCTGTCTCCTGACTTCCTCTCATTACAGAGGCACAGATCTGATCGGGTCAGGGCCCACTCAAATGACCCCACGTCAACTTAATCTCCCCTCTAAAGGTCCTCTCCCTCAGTTAAGGCAGATCCTCAGGTCCTGGAAGCAAGGATTTCAGTGTGTGAGTTTTAGTGGGGCACCAGACAGTATTCAAGATGGTTTACAGCCGCAGATATCTCCAGGGATTTATGTCCATGAATACCCTCTTCCCGCACGCACTAGGCCAGGCAGTATGGCAGAGGAGGAATAAATGACCCCATTCCCAGCAGAAGCCGGCTGCCACTTCCTGAAGACACCCCAGGCCTGCCAGGAGAGGAACTGAAGCCTATTACAGCAACCAGTGCCAACTTCCCACCGTATCGGTTGGCCACCTTGAAGCAGATTGTAACCTCGGGAGACCTCCTTACACCCAAGTGGAGAGCCTCAGCTCTGGGCTGCCCCTGAATTCCTGTCCCGCAGAAGCCGCAAGGTGATACGTGTTTTATCAGAGCCCATTAAAATGTGGAGTGTTTTATTACACAGCAAAAGGAGGTGAACATACAGGTTGATACTTAGGAATGCGTGGCTGAATTGGCGGCTCTTCGACAGGGGAGGGGGCAAGAGTTAGGAGGATCCTGAAGAGAATTTTGGAGAAAATTTCTGGCGTTTTGATGGAAATCCCAGCATCAAGTACCCTTGTACCCCAAAGTCAACAGAAGCTCCAGTGCGACTGTCCCAGCTGAACCCTGAACAGCAGGCTAGGTGTCCCCCCAGGTGCCTGGCCTGCCCCAGCCGTTGATCTGGGTATGAAGCTGCCTGGATAACATTCTCTATGCTGTGCTGTATGAATACAACTATCTACCTGCAGGAAACACAGATAGCTGTCAGTAGTCCTGCCCTAGACAAGGCTGTGATGTACAACCAACACAGGTGATGTCACTACCTGCCTTCCCATGCTTGGCCTGGCCTTCTGCCTTTCAGATGGGATGGGGGGGGGGACACTGTGCTCTCTGTGGTTCCGGAACACAGTCACGGTATAAGCACTCTCATAGCCTGTGCTCAGTAAGACAGCGTGTCTCATTGACACCCGGGCTGTGGGACTGCTCATCACAGCACAGTGGCATCACTCCTGTGACTTCAAGGGTGGCACACACATGTAGTGACATCCACCATGGGGAAGGCCGCTCAGAGTCCCTCAGTCAGCTCCTCTCGAAACAGTTCTACACACAACACAGACAGAATGAGGAGTGATCAGCACTAACGGAACTCGGGGGCTATTAGTAATAGTATGTTTAAAAGAAAGAGGAAAGTTGGGAGGGAGATAGGATGGAGGTCTAGCGGGAGTTGAACGGAGGTAGTCGGGGTTGGATAAGATCAAAACACAACGTATACATGCATGAAAATTTCAAATGACAAATACAATGTCACTTCAAGAAACCAGTAGCCAGCCACATGTAGCAAACCCAAGCTGCAAGTTCAGAAATATTAGAGTGTGGGTTATTCTCTGCTCGACTAGGAACTTGAAACAATTTATGAACTCGGTCAGCCAATCAATCAATCGATCGATCGATCAAGACTCCAGCAGGGAGGAAAGGGGGAGAAAGGCTAGGAAAAATGTGTGCCCGTGCAAAGCATGGAGACATGTTCACCATCATCCATCATCCAAGGAAGGCAAATTAGAGCAATATTACAGGACTAGTTAGAAGGGTTAGGTTGGAGACCTTTAGGAAAATCAAACACCGGACAGCCAAGGTTACAGAGCAATCCAAAATTGTACCTCACTGTTTATTTATGCAAATTGGTACATATGTGCTTGTATGTACTTATTGATAAGCTTATACATGTAAGTCAGGAAGTGCTCCGATGATATAAACAGACCCCACCCTCTTTTGATATAAAACATGTGGGAATTTATCCCAAAGAACTAGCCTGTAAAAGTCTACCAGCACGCTGTCTACAAAATGTATTCTGAAACTCAGAAACAACAAAACCCTCCCAGTTGGGAATCATCCAAGCAAGATGGTGGGCAGTGTTGGGGTCTTCCTGGCCACACGGTCAAAGACCACTGCTATAAAGCTAAATGAAAAGAGGCCAAAAGATAATTACAAAATTTATTCTTAGACATCAGGGCTTAGAAGAAATTCAGAAAATAAATATCCTGTCATTTGATGGGTGAAATTTATAGTTGAATCTTATTATTATTATTACTGTTTGATGTTGTTATTGTGTTTGTGCCAAAGGCAATGATATTGTTTCAGAAACTTCGAGAAATACCTTCCTCCCAGCCTTTGAATGCTGAAACCATGCTGAGTTGTTGTGGCAGCCGGAATGGTCCTTGGCCACTATGTGCCTGACAGGCCATCTCATATCCACCAAGGCATGGGCTTCCAGAGGGGTGTGCTGAATCTAAAGCATGTGAACTCCCCAGGCGTCAGC